CAGAGGCTGTTGGCTATTAGGGGGCATCAGAATCGCCTGGAAGAACCTGTTAACATGCAGATTCCTACGGCTCCCCAGTCAGAGATTCTGATTAAATAGGTCTGGAGTGACCCTAGCGGTGCATGTTTTTCATCAAGCCCTGCCAGTGATTAGAAAAAGCATCATCTTGGGACTTCCCTGGTGGTCCAGTGGGTAAGACTCCGAGCTCCCAATGCAGGGAGCCTAAGTTTGATCCGTGGTTGGGGAACTGTATCCCACATGCATGCTGCAACCAAAAGATCCTGCATGCCACAGAGAAGATCCCATGTGCTGCAACTAAGACCCGGCACAGCCAAAATGAATAGTAAATAAATATTTTTTTCTTTTAAAAAAGAAAAAGCATCATCTTGGGATCATATTCTGAGAAACATTCTAGACTCCTTAATCTAGAGCAGTGCTGTCTAGTAGAACTTTCTGTGGCCATTTAGCACGTGAAATGTGGCCAGTGTGAAGCTGAATTTTAACTTTAATTTCAGTGTAATTGGCCACATGTGGCCATTGGCTACAGTGCTGACTGCACAATTCTAGATTCCATATCTGTAGTTTCTGCAGCATCTGAGCAGCTGAACTCACTTGGCGTGATGCTGCCATTTCAACAGAAATTCCCGTCTTCCACTACTATCATTGTGAATGACGTTGTAGCTTCCATACATCACTTTATGACTTTTGGACTATTTCTTTTAATAATGATATCAATGATATTCTGCTGCTGATGACAGAAAACACAAAATATTCGTACCTTAGATAAGAGAAATTAATTTCTCTCTCATATGTAAGCGTTTCAGAGAAAATTGATCCTGGGTAAGAAGGACGATGCCCACTTACCCGCAGTCCAGGTTCCTTTCTGTCTGTCTGTTTATCTATCTATCTATCCACACATACATCTACCTAAATACTTCACTGTGTTTCCTAAGGACAAGGCATTCTCTTACATAACCTCAATAAAATGATCATAATCAGCAAATCTACAAACCTTAATCAGATTTCACCAATTGTCCCATTACCGACCTTTATAGCAGAAGAAACTCCCAGCTCACTTTTTGCATTCGGTTGTCTTTTTAGTTTCCTTCAATCAGAACAGTTTCTGAACCTTTCTTTGTCTTTCATGACCTTGACATTTTGGAAAAATATAGGTCAGTAATTTGGTAGAATGTCGTTCAACATGGGTTTGTTTGATGTTTCCTCATGATTAAATTCAGGTTATGCAATTTTGGCAGAAATACCAAAGAAGTGATGCGTCTTTCTCAATTAGTTCCATCATTAGCAATGCTTTAATTTTTGGCTGCGCTGGGTCTTCGTTGCTGTGCGTGGGCTTTACTCTAGTTGCGGTGAGCGGGGGCTGCTCTTCGTTGTGTGGCGCGGGCTTCTCATTGCGGTGGCTTCTCTTGTTGCGGAGCACGGGCTCTAGGCACACGGGCTTCAGTAGCTGCGGCACACGGGCTTCAGTAGTTGTGGCTCGCAGGCTCTAGACCACAGACTCAGTAGTTGTGGCACACGGGCTTAGCTGCTCCTCAGCATGTGGGATCTTCCCGGACCAGGGCTCGAACCCGTGTCCCCTGCATTGGCAGGTGGATTCTTAACCACAGCGCCACCAGGGCAGCCCACATTTGTTACTATTGATGAACCTGCACGGACACACTGCAGTTTCCCATAATTTGGTACTGGCTGATGGCATCCCCTTATGTCATTTAACAGGTTCCTTTGTCCCCAAATTCAAGAATGGAAAGATATTCAATTATTTCTAGGTGGTGCTGGAAACTCACCAGGAGGACATGATGTCTGGCTGTCTCTCTCTTTTACTGAGGACTAAGACCGATCAAGGGGTTCACGTGCCATCAGCCTGATCCTGTGTTTGTAAATTCCCCATCCGACTGTCCCCTAATGGTTTGATGACCCGTGGACTGTCGC